ACGAAGTCATAGCGGCATCACAACTAAAATTATTTCACTAAAGTGTCCAGTTTACATCACCCTATTCATTTTTCACTTTTAAAAGTACAATGTATTGAATAATTCGACTATTTTTTCAACTTCAGTGTCCAGATAACAGTTCTCATAATAACCCCTTCTTTTATACCAAAGAAAAACGTATAACAACAGTTCATTCCAGTTCTGCATGAACATGTTTGTCGTTTGATATAACTAATTAAATTGGTTGTGCATACGTATAGGAGAAACATGCAGATGTCTTTCAAAGAGATATTCAACATCATCTTTAAAACAAGACTTGCCAATTACCAATCAGCTCATACAGTTTATCAAAAGACACACATAATGCAAAATAAATGAAAGGTTTTTTTCTTTCTTTTCGATTTGTCATCATTTCATATTTTTCATTGTAAAATGTGTGTCGGAGCTGAAAGCGTTATAGTTTCCGAACCCATCCTTTCCCTGAAAAGTACTGCCGTTAGCAATGAGTGTCGGATTATCAGACTATTAAATCATCCACAAAACTGCTGCTGATGAAGCCATAGAACACCCACGTTAATAATCTATTGTATAACATTTCAGTGCATGCTATATTGAGACAAACGAATAGTCGTGGGATTTCATTTTGGTGATATATGACTACTTTTCAGTTAACTCAAATTAATCCGAATGACTGTAAGATAAGGCTTATTGACAGCTTATTCTGTAGAGTTGGGGGGAAGTGTTAGGCGTTCTTTCACAACAAAAACAATAAATTTCAATTTAAATCAACAAACGGGAACTATAAATAATAAAAGGGGATTATATTCCGCGGTTAATGAGTCGTTTCATGCAACTTTGGTATATATAAATAATATACGATTTCATATTCACACGTAATATACATAGCATTGATACATAAATAACATCAACTCTAGATAGTGTTATGTCGGTTTATGCAAAAGCTCTTAAGTTGTTTAAGTATATACGAAATCAAAATCGAAACTTTTAATATTCAGTCTCTTTGTTCCACAACAAAGCTCAGTAGCTTACCTCTAAAAGTTGCTACCGCTAAATATGAAGAATAATTGAATACATTGCCGTTCGTTTAAAAATATAGGCAGAGAATAACAAAAGGACAATCAAATTCATAAGTCGGAGAGAGTCTGTTAAAAGCATGGCACAAATCAAAATGACAAAAAAACACTTCATAGACTCAATCAAAATCCGAGGGTGACCTCATGGGCTCATATAATGCCCCTAATTTGACACCCGTCGTGTTGTAGGTATTTCTTATGAGTACATTAAGCATGCATTTCACAATCTAAAAACATTTTGTATCCATTTTTCGTCAGGTTTGGGATAAATGGTTGTATCATATTCGTCCCTGGTTCTTCAATACTTGCTTGTTAGGGCAAATCTATAGCATACTTGTTCAAAATTCGGCATCCGTATATATCGTAATTGAATATAAATCAGCCGCAGTCTGTTTGTGTATGATATACCGCTGATATAGCGAGAGGTATATGGGGGTCCTTTTGTCTTTTGTGATTAGATATGAAAGAAACTTTCTAAAATATTTTCAGTGCCTAAACATGATGCAACTTCTATTTTAACCCTTGTGTCAGAAATGGGTTTTGGGTTTCTCATTACAAAACATTGACTTCATCGTATACACAAAAGGGAAAAATCATCTTGTATTCGCAACTAGTCCTTAAACATAACTGGATAAAAATGAAACGTTTTAGGAATCGTTTCAATGCTTTGATGTATATCATATTCCATTTTCTTGTTCAATGGTTTTTCTCGTTTCCCATTGCAAAACATGCACTTAGCCATAAAATCTTCTGAAGCAGAGTATGCTAAGGTGTGGGATTTTCTCGCTGTGTTGAAGACCCATTGGTGGCCTTGGGCTGTTTTCTACTCTTTGGTCGGGTTTTTGTCTCTTGACACATTCCCCGTTTTTATTCTCAATTTTATTTTTAACTTTGCTTGGAATCATGGTTTACGTATTTATCCATTTTCTCAAGATGGTCTTTTTTTCGAAATAAGAAAATACAAAAAAACATATATGATAACAATTATGCAATCTACATGTTGAGTATTTGCTTTGAACGTTTCAGAAATGATTAAAACAATAAAGTTTGAAGACAAACATTTGGCGTAACACGAGAAAAGTTTTACCATCACGAGACAATGAGAGTTTGAACATTTGCTTATTAATATGCAGTCACCCTGCTAATGTCGAGTTCTAAAAAGTGGAGTATTATGTGTTGTATACACACGATGCTAAATAGGGACGGACTTTTCGTGATTTTTCCGCGTTGCTGGACTAGTCGTGATCAGATCCGGACTTTTTGTGATCCCAAAATTTGCAAGGCTGGTGAAAATGGTTAAAAATGAAAATGCTAAATTGTAAATGTCTTCTTTCTATTATGGGCACAAAATGGTATGAAATGATACTGGAATTACTAAAGATGTTGGCTTAATAGAAATTTAGAGTGTATTTCTTCGTAATCTGAAGTATTTAAATTTGACCGAGTTATCGTTCGATTTCAATGCATTTTATAAAAAATTTAGTACCAAATAGCAATTTGCTTCGCCTGTTTACGTTTTTCTCAAATTGATTTTCCGAACTTCCATTGCAAAATTTAAACTTTGCCGTATCATAAAAAGAGCAGTGTCTTGTATTACTGACATATTCCTAAAGCCTGACTGGATTACACAGTATTCAACTGTTCCTATATACTACATTTGTGCACTTCCTATTCTATTTTTTGTCCGAATGATTAAGGGTTTCCCATAGAAAAAGCATGGATATAATCTTATCTACAAAGGGGGGGAGGAATCTTGTATGCGCAACTCCTCCGAAATAAGCGATTGGATTTAAATGAATCTTTCATAGATATCTTTTGACATAATGCCATAAGACTTCTCCTATTTTCATTTTTTTGCCTTAAAATAATATTTTTAAATGCATTTTAGCATGCAATATCATGAGTGTTGTTTCATCAACAATGATTGATTGTTAGTTGCTGAACATTCAGTGGAGATGGAGAATGGTCATGGAAAAATCCATAATGACTGATGTGTACATGAAATTATCACTGTAATTTTAAATCTATATCCTATACATGTATAACATTTTTTATCCGTTCCCAGTAATTATATATTGCTTTCAAATCTTGTGTTTATCTGTATTATGTTTCACTGATATTCAAAATTGCCGTTCAATTATAATTCCAATGACATAAGATTTCATAAAACAGTTCACTTTCTTGAAATTTTCTGTTTTTAATACTCTTCAACTTCATATTTGACAAATGTTTGAGTTAGCCTTCAAACTGTTTTGATAAGAGTGTTACTGATGAGTCTTATGTAGACGAAATGCGAATCTGGCGTACCAAATTATAAACCTTTTTCGCCCCCCCCCCCCCAAAACAAAAATGATTACCCTGTACGATTTATAACCTTTTATTGTATGAACAGTCCACATTTAGGATCTAAACTTCACATGTGTTTCTATAACACAAAAAAATAATGTAGAATGTTTGAACCCACCCCCAAACTATGTGAATTAACTTTTTTATCCTACATTGATCTTTTGATGTTGTCCCTAAAGAGGTGAGACTTAAATAAATTCTTGTCTCAGTGTCTTGTCTATATATATGCAGTCTATAGCTTACCGATGTAGAAATCGAATGACAGTGACAAATCGAGATCGAGAGAAAACGCAACAAGTCTTAAAAGCATGATCAGAAAGCTAAAAATTAAATTATTCTTGAGTTGTTTTCTTATGAAAGCCTTACAAAATTGTGAAAATGTCCTGTAAATACATAGTATATAAAGGCTGTGAATACAAAATATATATACCATTCATAGAAGTGTGTAGGTGTTGGTTGTCCTCTTTAAATGAACAAAGAACTAGTTTACAAATAAAGTGAAACATTCCCACATTAAGATTACCCTTTCCATCATTATATATGATATATTGCTCTCATTTTTCCTTTTTTTTTAATAGTTTTAATTAACATTTAGTAAATTTAATTTAATTTTGCTTTCAGTACGTAAGTAAATATAATCATAGTAAAAATGTCAATACATATTTTGAGTGACATCATAACTGCTAATGACTAATTTTTCCAGTGTGTCATTTTTGATTTTCATATCAATAAGTGATTAAATAATAAAAAGTTGTTCCTCCCAGTGGCACGGCATAATTAATCAATGTTGATACAGGTTTTTTAGACACTGTATGGAACTTAAACTGGTTGTAATTACAGTTTTTCTTGTCCGGTTTCATGTCCTGTCAATCGTATACACCTGGACAGGTAACATTGACTATCTTGATAAACATCTATGCATCTCATTTGTTACTTGTACATTCAAGACGTGGATTAAATACTTTTGTGGATGACTCTATCTTTTAATGCCCAAAAGAATGCAGTGTTTATGTTAAGGTTTACTATATACTAATCAGGATTTATAAGTTTATAAGCTTAATTGTTCGATCTAAGACAGACGTATTGACTATCAAATTGTGACCGTCTTCGATCAATACTCCGTCTATTGGATAAGCTTCTTGTTGTGACATATCGCTTTATTTTCATCCTAATCACAATCGCCGTTTGCTCAAAGTTATTGACACAAAAAGTGTCGTTTGATGTTCGTTAGAGCGTAGGAAATTCAAACCATTTAAACACCGTACATTTTAGTGTATTTGTTCCGACCGTGACTCAGTCAATCACCTTAGTTTTTTTCATTCATACAAAGGTTTATCAGACATCTTTAAGTTTGTAGGACACCGTGCGACAAGGATATCTACACAAATATGTACGACTCTTACCTGTGACATAAAAATTCTTTTAATTTTACCTGTATGTGCAATAAAAGAATAAACGAGGGAGAAAGTATGGCAATAATAAAGACTTTTTTGTGTTTTTCAAATACAAGAGTTGGAACATTAATCTGTGGATGTTATACTCTGGTATGTATATTTTTAATAGAAAATATGAGAAAAACCTCTTTATCACTTTTATACTCATTAGTGTTTGTTGTCTTAAGTTGTAAATTAACGAAGGCAATTGCATTGGTTGTCTGAAAATATAAACCGACATACAAGCAGATAAATATATATACCACATCAAGATTCAGTGGCAGAACCAGGGGCCTAAGGTGTTCCACTCACTGTGACCAAAACTTTTTAGCGTATGTTTTACCTTTTTAGGCCAATTTTTCGGGAGGGCCTTACGCCGCCCCTTTTTGACAAGCCATGTACCCCTCGCATATATCTTGACAACAGCGCGTTTATTTTAAGTGTTCAATTTTGAATATATCTTATTAGTATTCATACAGACATCTGTGCTTTGTTTTTTATTACCTACTTTTGCTTTGTCATTTATCATTTTTGCCACGGTGTAATTTCCATTGACCTATAATTATGATAATTGTACCTCAAGATCTTCTTCTTTTCTGACTGAAAACTTGCATGATGGAAAATGCATACAGGTGAGAGAAAATTGATTAAAATGTTTCATCATAGTGAGATTCTGTTCAATGTGTACATGTAGAAGATAATAAAGTGTGTAGATTATCATGATACATTTATAACTTTGAAGGAGTTCATTGGGTTTTTTCTGATGACAGTGTATTTATTATCTAAAACTGAATTTATACAATGCCTCTCACCATTAAAAAAGGGATACAAATAAATTATACCATATCTATTAAAAAAAAAAAAAAAAAAAAAAAAAAATACAATACACAATATTGTGAGTTTATTAGCTATACTTCGACTTTTGGTAATAGTTATCATCGACTTCCTTAGTTCCAACAATAAACAACTTGTGTATCACTTCTTTTAAAGCAAACATTTTCATGTATTTAATTTGATCAATGACACTTTTCAATTTGGTTACAATTAATTTCGACAAAAGAATGGTGTGGTCAAATAGTTTCAACCTTAAGGGTATTGGTATGAAGCCGTATTGTGACAATGGTCGAGTTATCTGGACATCATTCAACCTCCGGTCAAACAATAATGTCAGAATAGAGAAAATTGAATTTGATCCTATTAGCATGAAATATAAATACAATCCATTTGGAATGCAATTTTAATTTTAAGCCAAATATAAAAAGATGAAAATTCTTTCTTTTCAAAATATTCTTATCAATACAGGATTCAAAATCAAGTTTTGTCGTAGTATTTTAATAAGAGAAAAGAAAACCCTGAAAAACATTAGAAAAAATAATGAAAGGCGAAACAAAACGCTAAATCTGAAAATCATCACTTTTGTTGATTTTGAAAACAAACAAAACTTCCGAAACTTCTCACGTCTTTTTCCCTCCCATTTCATCTTAAACCAAAAAAGAGGGTCTATAAGAAGTTGATAGTATTCTGACAATATCTTATGTCCCAGGATAAACTGATAAAATTTTTTCTCCTTATAATTTCGTTTCCTTAATAATAAAAAAAAAGCTTAATCATCAAAGAAATGTCGTTTTCCTGTAAACAATGAGAAATTAATTAATTCTACGAAAAAAACATATCTTGTCATTGTACATAGTAAAACATGATATATCTGTAATAAGAAAATGACATCTGTAATTTTCATACTTTTTAATTAATATTTCCCCCTGTGTAACAAAAAATGTAAATATCTGTTGCTAACAACGTGTTACAAAATATTTTATTATCACAAATATCTTATAAACAAAACTATTTTATAACCTTTATCGACAAATGATATATTGAATGATTTAATAGTAACATATTAAATTTCATAATAATTATACTGCTAATCAACAAATCATTAATATTTCTATTCAAATCTGGTCCGGACGTCAATCGTTAGTTGTAATTTTCAAAAGATCTCAGGTGTTTTAATATCGATCCTCGCATACCTGACATTCCAGGGAAATTGACTTTGCATGCAATTTGTAAAATTAGTCATTCGGATTATCGATTTGCATTATTAAGGGGTAAATACACAGATGTACTTCAAAGAAACCGTGGTTAGAACAAAGTGTGGTTGGATTTTAATTGCTTAGTCTTTGAAGTGGTATATCAAAACCCCAACCCTTATTCCAACAACACAACAGACTCACAGTAATGAAATTCGCGAAATTTAATCAGTATTAAATCTGATTTTCTTAGTGCATGAAACACAAACACCAAGGGGACAACAACAAATAATATGTCAAAGAGGGACAGACGGCACCACTGCAATACGTATACAAGATAAAACACAAAAATTGTTCATACAAAACAGAATTCAATTAAAAAAGATAGACGTGCAACAACAGAACGACATTTAAGGATTAATTTTCTGTATGTAAATGTACAACAGAAGAACGACATACGTGAGTTTTTACACATTTGTACATGTTTGTTCTAACGGCTGCATTTTTTACAATTGCTCGTCTCTTTTTCCACTTAATTTCAAACAGCTCATATTACAAGTTTCGTTCCTCTATAAAATGAAATGACAAAGATGCTAAATCAAATGAGAAAATCTCATTAAAACTATTGATCAAGGTACTAACCCAGACAGTATTTGACGCATAAGACATGACAAATATATTCAATCGAAATATTTACAGTAAGTCAAAGAAGAAGGATCGATATGCCTTGAAACCGTCTGGAATTTGATGAAAAACATGCACTTTTTCTAAATTGTCGGTCAAGGATGGTTATGGAGCTTTCTATGTAGTGCTTAAAGTACAAGAGTTGATGGTAATAGCATGATACCGTGTTGATATGATGTCTGATGTCAAAACAAGACTTAAAAATAAAAACTGACTGAAATGAAATTATACTTTCCGTTTATAGAGCTTAGCTAGTCAAAATATGTGTAACATGCAGGCATGTTGCATCCTGATCGATTCCAGCAATGTAAGCTGTTGCGTATTGTATTAAGGCATTGAATTTATACAGATAACATTCATGCTGAACGCACGGGTTAGTTTTGAAGTAAGGTAAACTAACTGAGTGGAGAACTCGAAATGTACATATATTTTTAAAAGATGCGATTAAGGCAAGAAAATCTCACTCCCAAGGCTTGAACAATTCAGTATAACATACGATCAACTTTAAAAAGAACGATAATTTTTATGAGTTTGTTTTTAGTTCGTATATCCGACATTTAGAAAGACTGATGAGCTATTCTACTGATGAAAAGGAGTCTCAATCAAAGCGATTGTGATAGTTCAAACATGTATCAACATTGTCTCACACCTTCTGTTTCAGTGTTAATAATCTGTCTGGAGATAGTCTGTTTGATCTAGGGAAATCTTAACAAATAGATTATGTTTTGTCACTCTGTGTTCGTTGATAACGTACTTTTTATGACACATCGGCGATATTATCCCTTGGTACTGTTTGTTTTTTTAAATAGCCAGTAATTGACCGTAAGAAGATTCACATATTTTATTAAAACACCACGGGGTTTGACCAGGGCTGGAGGGCTATTACTCATTGAATCAATAAAGTTGTTATATTTCCTAAATTAATATTTATGTAATTACATATACATTATATGATTATAAAGCCACTATCTATCCCGGGGACATGTGTGCTTTATATGTGTCCATAGTTGATAGACTTGTTAAAAGGGCCATAAACACAATAACACTAGAATAAATGTCTTCTTTTCTCTTTGATTTTAAAACTGACAAATTTTGACAAGGTACTTGTTTGTTCTTATCACCTCTGGGGTGTTAATGATATTTTAAGTGTACATAATTACTTATACAAATTTATACATTCATGTCAGTACAAAATTGTGTCAACTTTGTACAACACTATTCACCTCACCTCATTAAAATGCTCATATAAGGGAGAAACCATTTAACTTCAAAGGGGGGAGGGTTATGGTTTTTTGTCAAAGTCAGAATTTTTGTTCAAGGGACATTCAAAACCCACAGGGATCACCTGCTGTGCTGCATGAAAATTCAAAGATTGTTTATAAGTGTATTGGCAATACATGTAAGAAGTATATATAATACAAATATTTTCTCACATCAAACTTGATGATAACTTTGAAATTCATACGAAACAATTAAAATTTTGCATAACCGTTTTGTATGCCTTATTAGACTTGATATTCCCATGCTATTTAAAAGTAGAGTTTAATGAAAAGATGGCTAAACGTTCTTTGAGTGTTTTATTAGGTATCTGTATAATGTGAGAATTTTATTTTTTTAATTTAAACCGAAACATTAATTCTCCATTTCAGTCGTTAAATTGTCTCATCCAAAATCGATGTACTTAACTTTTAAGTATTAAGACACAAAGGGTTAATGATATTTATGCATTTTAAGTTTCAATGTATTGTCACTGAATGTAAAGAAGGAATTTTATATCGCATGTCTAAAGTTGAGTGCCATTGAATTTTTTTTCCAAATGGAAGTTTCGATGTCTTTGTTTTTTTTTTTTCGATTGAGGAAAGATTTAGATTATGAAAAGAGACATGTCATGTAAAGTTGCATTGCTGCACCTTTAAAACATTTGATTAAAATCATAAAATATCTAAATGTTATGAGAAGCCTGAAGACTTTTACTCACTGACATGAAACGTCATAGCAAAAATTAAAATATCTACTATGCTAAAATGACAAAATCAATTTTGAAGCTCAATAAGACATTCATGGGCGTGGTTGGGGTATGTACACGCAGTTTTGATAAAAAGGGAGAGGTCCGCTTTTTGTTTTTGCTGTATATTTGGGGGCGGTGGGAGGGGGGTTGCCCAATGTCCTGATCCCCACTGGGGTGAATGTTTCAATCTTTTTTACTACAATCTTAACTTGATATAAATCAAATCAAATCAAATCAAATATTTATTATTCCAATAATCGTCCCACAGGGGGCATTTACAATTAACAATTGTGATAGTATAAGCAACAAACATGAGACATTGTACAGTATATAACGTGACAGATATTATAATAGACAATGAAAACAGCATTAATAACAAAAATACATTAAAAGTACTCTTGAGTATTTTTTTTCCCCTTCCTTCCTTATGTCCAGCAGTGTAAAAAATAAAAAAAAAAAGGTATTAATAATAAAGTTTGAACAAACTTATTTCATTTGTTGATGCTTCTGTGTTTATATTTCTTGAAAACGATTTTTAGAAATGAATTCCTACATAAAGCTTATAGACAAAAGGCCATTCGCACTTGATTTGGAGTAAAACAAATTTTAATACAAAAATGACAGCAGTTTTCTTTTGAAAACAAAAAGATGAAACTTTTTTTCTTCATTTTGCGGATAAAATGCTTCTGTAAGTCTTTGGTTGTTTGTATCGTTGTGTTGCTCGTTGAAGTTTAGCCAAACTTCTTTTTTATTCACACTCATTTGCTCTAAGCTTCAGAAAATATTGTTGTATAATGAACTTTTCATGTAAATAAGATAGATAGATACATTTGTTATTTCCAATCGAGAACTCAATATGGGCTAAATCATTACAATGATTAGAACATTTTAAACATTCACAATATAGTTTCTTTTGAACAATAGAAAAACAACTCAGATATGGAATATAATATATATGTTTGCAAGTAACAAGGAATAATTTCAGCTGAATCGAAACTTACATAAAGTATTTAGATGCCTCTTTATACACGAACACAAAAGATAAAATGATATCATCCCTGGCAACTCCAGGCTGATACGATGGTATTTACTGATACGAGAACTGATATTGAAATGACTTAGTGTAATGATCTATATAACTAGTATCTTACCACAATGTATGAAAAGAAACTTTTATATTTTGTCTCTTTGTTGTTCTAACATTTGCCGTCTGTGAATTATCAACCGGCAAAATTTACTGTACTTTTGAAGATCGTTGTCTCTTTGTATTTCAAACATTTGCCATCTGTGAATTGTAAACTGGCAACATTTACTGCACTTCTTAAGATCGTCTATTTGTTCTTCTAACATTTGCCGTCGGTGAAATGTCAACCGGCAACATTTACTGTACTTTTGAAGATCGTTTTCTCTTTGTACTTCTAATATTTTCCGTCTGTGAATAGTAAACTGACAACATTTACTATACTTCTTTTAAGACCGTTGTCTCTTTGTACTTCAAACATTTGCCGTCTGTGAATTGTCAACTGGCAACATTTACTTTACTTTTGAAGATCGTTGTCTCTTTGTACTTCTAACATTTGTCGTCTGCGAATTTTCAGCTGGCAAAATTTACTGTATTTTTTTCGTTCGTTAGGGGTCGTTGGAGGGAAGCATTGCTTTCATATCATTGACAAGTTAAATGGGTTTAATATCATAAATTAAATGTGCAACAATCCTATTTTTCAGATTGTCTCCCTTGTGTGCCTTGTGTTTTACCTTTTCCGGTATGTTGGTTACCAGTTAATACAGGATTCTCCAGGTAAGCTACAATATCAAATGCAAAGTGAACATGTTCAGAACTAACTAGTGAATTGAAAGATTCATTCAGTAAGACAGAAAAAGCAAACATCAACTTTTTTATAAAGTTGTTTGAGCACCTGAAGTTTTTCTTCTTCAAAACTTGCAACAATAACTTGCAAATCGACCATTATGAAAAAAATATAAATCGCAAAGACACACATTTCAACTATTCCTCTCCCTCACCCCCCCCCCCCCCCCCCCTAAAAAAAAGGAAATAAAAGAAAAGGAAAGACAAGGGAAGAAATAAAAAAAATAAAAAAAATATTGGAATTAAGGGATACTACAATGTAGAACAAACTTCTGATATTAGTCAGGTCCAGAGAAAATGATAGACTCTAACTTTTTACTTTTTTGGTAGTCGACTATAGTTATTGAACCTAACATGGATGAAAGGAGATGTTGCTTTCACGTCAATGAGACAGCAACACAATAAAACAAACAAACAAACAAAAAAACATATATATGCAAACATACGGTTTTCAACAATAGACAGAACTCGTGTCTATAAAATATGTCAAGCTCTACTACTTCATTAATTTAGGTAACAACTTATATAATTTTGTATAATTTGCGTTATATCTGATTCATACACTATTAAATGCAGATTAAAATTGCTCGCGGAAAGTAAAATATGAGAAGTTATGATGTTGATTGTATGTTTTACAGAATACAAAGGGATAGTATACGCTGGATTTGTGTTGTATGGTTTAATGATAACCACGTCTCTAGTCCTAATACCCGGTGTTCAGTTGGTAAGTTATTATTTTTATGAATAGATTTGTTATAAAATTTGGTTAACTGGCAGTTATGAATTGATTCAACGGGCCTATTTTTTTCAAAATCAATACAAAATGCTTTTGGAAAATATTCTTTTAGTTCTTAATCATTTCCCAGCAATTTATCGTTGTTTTCGTGTCTGTGTTGTTTTTAAAAAAAAAAAAAGGGAGATGATGTATGATATTCAATGAGACAACAATCGCCAATGATCAAAAGTCAAGGATATAAACAACTACTGGCTACAGGACGTCCTTCAACAATGAGCAACCCCCAAAAAATCTGTATTTATCTATTTAAAGCTGTCTTTAATCTTATGCTGTGTAATATATAAATTTGATAAATGCAGGAAACCGTTTTGTCTCGATTAAGAGACTGTCGATAAATTTGAAAATAAATGTTGGACTAAAACATATACAGCTTTTCTGACACTTTGTTCATGGTATTATCTGCAACTAGTCTTAAGAATAACATATCTTAAAATTTAAGCAATACAAAATAAGTCTATGAATATATATTTTTTTCTATAATTTTAGGACAAACGATATTTGTTGTTGCCATGGATATATATGTTAATTTTAAATGTTTTATATGAAACTGGTTCTGTAGCCTTACTCACTACAGTACACATGGAGAGGGAAAAGGTAAAATTTATCTCATAAAGTAAAATGTTGTTTGGTACATACATACCTCGTAATGTAAAACATTGATATTTCATGCGTCAAAAAATGCTAGTTAGTTCATAGACTCTTAATTATCAACTATAAAAAGGTATGATATTTTTTTGAGCACATAACATGTGTTTCCTGAATAACCACCAGGTACTCGCACGTGACCAAAAGTTATGACATCCAAATTATAAAACATTGACTTAAATTTTTTTAAAACCTAATCGTTTTATTCTTATAAAAATGATAAAAAAAGATAGAGAGTCCTTTGAATGGTTATTCTTGTGCAGTATAATATTTATCGCTAAACATAATTTTTTATATCCTGATGTAGTACTTAGAAACATGTGTGCAACAGATGTTTATGCAAAGCTTCACTTAATAGGGATAAATATGATATAAGAATTAAGATAAAATTGATATTATATTTACTGATTTACATTTAATTTAAGTATTTTTTTTTTACTTTGCAGACACTCCATGCCTGGGAAATTATATGGGTTTTCTTTTACTGTTTTAAACTCATAGCGAACGTAAGTGTATAGCTTAAAGCATTGCTATATAATGAATTAGTAATAATAAAAGCAGATTAAACTACACAAAAAAAAATCATTGAGTCAAATCAACTGAACAACAAAACTATTAACTATTTTCGAATTCTGTTATTACCTTTGTGTGTCAGGCAAAACAATGACACAGCATACACGGCTGTTTTTCTGCTCTTTGGTGGGTTGTTGTCTCTTTGGCTCATTCCCCATTTCCATTCTCAATTTTAAAGTATTGATTACTAGTTTGAATAGTAGAAGACATAGTCAGGACGATAGAAAACCAGTGATAAAATCTCCATTTAAAGACATATTCATATACATATAATTAAATATACAAGAAATAACGTTTTGGAAGGTATACACACAGAAACAAACTTTCCGTTGTATCTAAAATGAAATAGACCTACATGTATAATATACCACATCACCTTATTTTTTATGGTATATGTTTGACTATTTTTGTTTTTATTTTAGTGTTATTGTTTTGCCTGTGTTGTCTCACAATACCAAGAGCTTTCAGAAGGAAGAGGAACATATGAATATCTATACAAACCAGTAAGTTTATGTTATTTTTAATAATATAATTTATTGAGTTTGTGTTATAGGATCTACATGACAGATAATAAGTATAAATAAATGTTCATTAACGAGAAATAAAGAAGACCATACAACAATAAAGCAACAAACTAAAAAATATATCGAAAACTAAAGATTATGCAACGCAAACCAACTACCATGAAGAACTCATGTGCTCCAAGGAAGTCTTATTAGTCTTTTAAATGCTGTTTAGTTATGTGGAAGCTTCCGGGGACTATTGCTTTTGTACAAGATGGACATATCAAAGAAAAAAACCCAAACATATGTGTACTTTTGTCTCTGTAGGGTGAAGTGACAATTTATTCTCAATATTCTAAGAGCTACAATTTGCTACATATCTGTACAGTTTCAGATGTTGTATTTAGTATAAATAACTAATATATCATTAAATGCATGATTTTATACAGATCTTTTCCATTTTCTAAAATATGGTTATGATTTTGCAGAGAACTCATCGGTCTCACAGATGTCGACAAGACTTTTCAGTTGAAACATTTGAACTGCCATTCGGATATCACTTGCCTCCCTACACAGAGAGTGATCCGAATAAAGAACTAAATCCTCCAAATTATGAACAAATATATCCACAACCCAAAGAAGAACCTATATCAAATCATTCACATACGTTTAATGTGCAATCAAGCAATAACAATTGTTATCAAGTAACGGTGGATATTGTGTGGATATGATTATATTATTGTGTAGATATAATGTGGATATACCTTGAATCGAGTCCAAGTGGATCTTTGGATGATATGGAGTTTGTGCTGTTTGGAAAAAGTTTGCAATAAGCATGAATGACAGACGCAAATTTGAAGATGAGTGCTACACATATTACGTAAATACAATGTAGCTCCATTGTGGTAAATGGAGGATGTAACATCTGAAAATGGTACACTACTCAAGCATGGTGGTACATGTGAACAAAAGCTGATATCAGTCCCCGGAAGGGATATACTACCGAGCAGTTACAATTTGTTGGCTTCTATTGAAAAGATCAATGCCTCTTATTGCCTGTCGTGAAAAATGTGATAAAACACAGAGAAAGGGAGTAAATTAGCTATTTATTAACTAAATGTTATCTGTATGTGTGATAAACAAATGTCCATATGTAACTGTTTCTAGTCAGAACTACATGTATTTGTTAAACAAATTGTTTTTTATAATTTAAATGACAACTTTTGCTATATTCTTGAACTGGCTAACACATTGCTCAGAAATGAAAGTGCTTTAATGAAAACTCAGGTAAAAAGTTGTATAACCTAGAGATTTACCTTCTGAAACTGATTTGTCATGATTGGTAAATTCTGGTTTGAAGTAGATTCTGTCCCGTTTTGTACAATTAAAGTGAACCTGATAAAACAAAGTCTGCCAGTTAAAGAATTATTATGGTGCTAAACTTAATAATTCATTTTACAATTAATTCACAATTCATACTTGGTGAAATATTAAAAAGAATCAAATACTATGTTTGTTTATTTTAGGATTTTATAAACTTCAATTTATCACATATATCGATTGCACTGGACGTATTCCTGTTCGCGAACATAATGAAAAGCATCAAATTTTTACTTTTGATTGACGAAGAAACACATATGTATATTATTCGCTGTGTCTGGCCGGTGTTTCAAGCAGAAATTAAAAGGGGACACAACTCGCAACTCGTATGATACTGATTTAAATCTTTAGAATATGTGTGATTACTAGATTTACCTTCATCAGGACAAATCGATCTAAAAACTGGAAAACGAAAAGCTTCATACGGATATATTCTGAATATAACAAAAAGGGGACATTAAAAGAACAGGTGTCCCGTGAAACCGTCTGAGGTCACCTTTTATAATGCATCTGCAACCTTTCACATTGCTTTACTGCAATAACGTAATCTATTTATACAAGAAATAAAAATAGTCCAAATGTCGGATAGATTGATTGTTGTTTGCCGAACGGTCAGTGTCAATATCTAATGCAAATCTATGACGAAAATACATTTTGTTATCCCGGGGCCTTTTTTCTAGCTTACTAGACGGGCGCATTGCATTTGCGCCAATTTTTACAAAATCCAATCTCTCAATTCCGCCACAATGTTATATTTCATTTCAGTGCCAATATCTATTGCAAATCTATGACAAAAATACATTTTGTTATCCCGGCACTTTTTCTCTAGCTTCCTATACTGTATTGGTTTTTGATAATTGTTGACCGTACAGTGGCCTGCAGTGGTTTACATCACTGTCCTTTGGTCTTTATTAGATAGTAGTCTCATTTGCATTCATAAAATAGGTTGAAATCGATATTGATAGATAGGATTTAACTCCATAGAAAACTGAGGACTGAATAACACAAACCCCAACCAAAATCCGATCTCATGTGCTCCAAAAGTAAAGGTAAGCAAATCCTGCTTCATATGTGGTACCTGTCGAGTTACTCATGGAAAGTACACATTCGGTGATAAGACTCATTCAGTGATGTCACAATCGAGGAAAAGAGGACGGAATTGTGACTACAGCAATTGGAATATATCCGTGGTAATATGTGACATAGATATTCCATAACGATCAAACAAATCATGATGGCGTCAGTAAGACTTATACCTCTACAACCAAACAAATCATGATGGCGTCAGTAAGACTTATACCTCTACAACCAGGACATAAGCACTGAAATAACGTCTCAACTGGCAGATATATATATTCAATATGACGGATATACAGGCACTGTTGGGATGTTGCTACATAGAAATAAAAAGTTCACAACAGGAAAGCTGAAATCATCCCTTTTGTCAACATTGTCAATTTCTAGATGAAAATTACGATACGAGGCAGGCTTTACTGGATCGGTGGTATCTTTCATTTCAATGTTGATGGGGTAGATGCGTTCAACATATTAAATTGTTTAGTGATAAGAACTGTCATTGAAGTATAACCTTAGCGCTTTTATTATTGTTCTACACGTCACAGTGAGGCCTTCAACATGAGATCTACTCTGAAGTGCAGTCACCAATTATAGGACGGTTATATTGCATATCTGCAGGTTAAGTTCTTCGAGCTTGCTTTTAGCTAACTGCAAGCATTCTTTGATGCAGTAATATTTACAAACATTTTGCTTGTACGTTTTTATTTGGTACTTGCATCGCTAGATGCGACTGTAGATCAAATAACCGCTATAATCCATCCGTCAGAAACACAAAGATGATATCGAGTTTGCATCATCTTAACTGCCATAGTTTTCCTTAGAAATAATTCAACTTTTTCACAACTGTTGCACACCGTTTGAAGATGTGCAGCTCCTATTTTGGACAGATTGTAATTATTTTTTTAAGTTATTGCAGTTTGGAACTTACTGATTTTGTTATCAAATGCTATAGGAGTAAATCATTTGTGTCATCTGTAATTCCAACAGTTTCCTTTCAACATCATGCAAACTTGCACAATGATTGTATCCACATTTAAGATGTGGCGTATTTCCTATTTTAACGGACGATGTGAATGCTATCATGCACTGTTAGCAATATTTTCCACCAAAATCTGTGCAGAAAACAATACCAGATTACTTCAATGATGATCTACACCTGTCATTTCATATTTACACCAATCATATTGCTTCCAATACTTGCAATCCCACGAGGTTATTAGAGACAATTAACCACTACGATGTAAAATCCTTACATCAATATTGCTCTATTTAATCGTCCTCATACAAATATATCCTGATGGCCATGTTATAATTGATTCCTAAATTTCACAAAAATCATTATAAAACAGAGGCAAAAGATACCAAATTTACATTCAAACTCATAAGTCGAAAATTAACTGACAACGCCATGGCTAAGAAATAAAAAGACCATCAGAAAAACAACAGTACACAAAACACAACATAGAAAACTAAAGAATGAGCAACACGAATCCCACCAAAAACTTGGGGTGATTCCAGGTGCTCCGGAAGGATAAGCAGATCCTACTCCACATGTGGCAGCCGTTGTGTTGCTCATGTTTTTACAAACCCGGTTATAAGTTTAATTCGATAGGTCTTATTTGGGGAAAAGGGGACTGGATTGTAGTTACGACAATTGGAACATATCCGCTATCATCTGTGAAACGGATATTCCATAACGGTCAACCAACTCGTGATAGCGTACGTAAAAGAGAGACGAAAGATACCAAAGGGACATTCAAACTCATAATTCGAAATAAACTGACAACGCCATGACTAAAAATGAAACAGACAAACAAAAGTACACAAAACACAACATAGAAAACTAAAGACTGAGCAACACGAATCCCACCAACCCTGGAGGTGATCCTGCCCCACATGTGGCACCCGTCGTGTTGCTCACGTTAGTACAAACACGGTAATAAGTCTAATTCGGTAGGTCACATTCGGGAAAAGGGAACGCATTGTAGTTACGACAATGGGAACATATCCGCTATCATCTGTGAAGTAAATCGTGATAGGAAATTAAAGCCCTGGAATATATATAAAGAACGATATAAAACCGGGTCGTCAAGATGTTCCACTAAACATCTTTCTAAGGTTCATTCAACCATTCTTTCTACAGTGAAATATGGCCTTCAAGTATATTTTAATGCGATATATTCAGCTAGCAGTGTCAATCAGATGTGGATTCTGAAAAATTGTTATAATATACTCCAATATCTTCAATCACAATCTTTTTGTCTTTGCAGTAATATCAAATATCTTTAAATTTTCCACGCTTTACACTAATATTCCCCATGCTGAATTGAAAGATTGACTACATCGTCCCATTACACATTGCTATTTATACAAAAAACGGGGATCATTATATAGTTGAACGACTTCAAACTAGAATCTATGACAAACTTGATGAGTTAAACTTTCAAATTGTCAACTTCTATTTTCTCTGCAGTAAAATACCGTCTGTCCCATCGTATTGCGTTTACATATCTCAATTTATACGTTACGGCATGTAACTCTCAGTTTATCTTCAACATTATTAATTTTGTGCAGTCGGTGGACACATAGTACCTAAAAGTAAAACAAACCATGCAGCACATCTTGCTTTAATTATTTATATCTGGCTTTAAATCTGTAAAAAATAGAACCTTTCTCTAGTTTGGGAATTTTTCAACTACCAATACTGTATAAATAAGAAGATGTGGTATGAGTGCCAATGAGACAACTATCCATCCAAGTCACAATGTATAAAAAGTAAACAATTATAGGTCAAAGTACGGCCTTCAACACGGAGCCTTGGCTCACACCGAACAGCAAGCTACAAAGGGCCCCAACATGACCAGTGTAAAACAATTCAAACAGGAAAACCAACGGTCTAATCTATATAAAAAACGAGAAACGAGAAACACCTATGAACCACATCAACAAAAGACAACCACTGATCAACAGGCTCCTGACTTAGAACAGGTGCATAAAAATGCAGCGGGTTTAAATGTTTTAACAGGCGCCAACTTTCACCCTAACCTGAGACAGTAGTGTAACATTACAACATAAAAAGACACACTATAAAATATCAATTGAAATGGCTTAACTCGATCAAAAAGACATTTAAACAAAAACAAGTAAACATACACTGAACGATACGTTTGATCTATGATGCAATATAAATGCAATATTAAAACGTAGGTGCCTACTTAACATAGCCGTTACAGATAGTAATAAAAAAGATGCAGGAAGAGTGTCAATAAGACAACCCTTACCTGGGACAAAATGGCGTTAAATAAAACAACGTACACAGGTAAATTTAAATATAATAATTTTGTTGTTAGGAGTACGGAAGTAAACATTTTTTACAAAATTAATAAATTTGTTGTTCAGAGTACAAGTACAGAAGTAAAAATTTATCGTCATACTAAAAACTTATCAAAGGTGGTATTCATGCATATTGATCAGTTGAAGGTGTAACACCACTAATTCGGGCCCGGCCAGAAAGCACATACCAGAAAGTAGTACATATTTAACACAAAATAGTTCCTACGCATGAGTGTAACTTTCAAAATATGTAGAATATTTAGGTATTTTTAGTATCAAATGAAAGCTGAATGACTGATGATCATTGTAGAACACTTTTTGACTTATAATTTTGAATATTAAAAAAACTGCACCAAATTTTAAAAAGAGGGTACATTTTGCCTGTTTGTCAGATCTGAAGTACATATTTTGGAACATCCGAAGTTCCGGGAACTAGTTCTTTCTTATATGCCATTAAAGGTATGTTGATTTGTTCCGTACAAGACACCATAAAGTGCTGCTTTGACAAGCAATGATTGTCACTTTATTTGAACTTATAAAACAAAAGAGCTGTGCCTGCTTGAAATTGAGGAATTTAACATAGAAAGCAATGGGGCCATGAATTAGTGGTGTACTTCCTGAAAGCATTTTTATAAATCAGCGCCATGCGACGCAGAAATTAATACGGTATATATTGGACTGTTTTTTTTTTTAATTTTCTATGATACTATGCCATTTAAG